TGGCCTAGAGGCCAGAAAAGAGATCCAGTCCATCAGGAACTGATCTACATGCAGATTCCAGCACCAAAACTTTCTTCTCCTCACACTGCAGGACTTATATGAGATTAAGAGATAGAGACTTCACTGATATCATCATATGAGGTAGACACATCACTGGATCAACATATGTTAATTATTATGAGAATTGCAATGTGGGACTTGAGTTACTACTAGGGAAAAAATGGAGAGCTGCTGATATGAAATGCCCCTCACACTCTTCTGTCTGTAAAATAAATGTGTGTCTCATCCCTGTCCCAAAAGGGAAGTTAATCTTTTATATCCCAGGATTGTTAGTGATTTTGTCAGCTGCATCCATAGTTCTGTTACAGATATTTGTATGTAGGAAAACGCCTCTCAGTTCAGAGTAGCCTCTAAGCACTCGTCCAGGTCAGCAGCCTGTAGTACTGGGAGAGCTGAGATTCACAACACAGAGTTTCACACCATGATGTAAGGCTAGAACTGAAGCAGAGATTTGAGATTTGAGATTGACATGCTGCATCCATTCTCTTGTTCCACAGATCGTTGATAAGAACAACCGCTACAAATCCATTGATGGGACGGATGAAACCAAAGCAAACTGGATGAGGTGAGTCCAGTTCTCTTCTGCCTTCCCTTTCGGGACTCTGTCTTCCAGAGAGAGGCCATCAAATACTCCTTATTATTTTGTGTGTTGGAAAACCAAACCAAAATGTCACCACCCATTTTGCAAATGGTGTGCTTGTATTCTTTCAATATTTATTGTAATGAGTTTCTCTGGCATCATATTCAATGAAAGGGTCTAAATAAAGACAAGGATGCGTATATGGAGGATCACTATTTTCTGGAATGAGGATAAATGTTAAAGATGATCCTATTTATCCACTCTTACAAGCACTGACAGATCTCACTCCATTTTTTTACTCATTTTCTTTTACGTTACGTTCAAATATTTGCAAAATGCTTTGCACTGCCCCCTAAGGTAGCATTTGATTCTGTTGGGGTTTTTTTTGTCCCTACTCGTTTGACAGATGCTAGAAGAGGTGTCTTTTTTTTGCTTGCTTTCTGGGCTGCATTTGAGCCGGCTGTCGGTGCTGGCTGTCGTTGGCAGTGTCAGCTGTCCTGTGCGAGGAGAAGGGCGAGCTGGGCGACCGAGGGCAGAGCTGTGTCCTTGCGCTCCCTCTGCTGGCCCCGCGCCCCGGCAGAGCAGCCGCCAGCGCGGCTGGCTCCGCTCCGGGAACTGCAGCGGGAAAGGGACCCTGTGGGGCCATGGGCCAGTGCTTCAGCTATCGGCATATAGCTGCAAAAATGTACCAGAATGGGGCATTGCTGCACGGTGAGGCCCGTCAGGCCAGTCCTGCTTCTGCGGGAAACTTTGGAAGCAGTTGTTATCAAGAGGCATTTCCTACAAGAGTAAAGCGGTGTGGGATTTCCTGGTTTGTGGGCCTGGATGTCTAGGATTTTCAGTTGTCCCTCACTGAGGGAGTAAAAAGCATGCAGTACAGGTAAATGCAAGATTGACCTAACTGGTCGTATCTAGTTGCACCACTTCTGGCCATTTCATTTCACACGGATAGCAGCTGTTCTGACATTTATGTTCATAAAGTTCAGCAAAGGATTTCATTTTTCTGTAAGGATTCCAGCTGTTGCAGTTGTTCACTGCTGAATGAGATAAAATACTAGACCAGGGCTGAGTCTGGAGTCATCACTTCAAAAAGAAGCAGTGGTACAGTGAAGAGATGGGTAGGCGAACATATTTATATCTAGAAGTAAAGAATGCAAAGTTCAGAAATCTACTTAGATCTGGACCTTTGTGATCTGCATGACAACAAAGCTGGGACAAAACACAGTTTTGGAAAGCAAAAGTTCTATGATGAGCTTTTCTTCCGACTGCTGTGAACATAAGCTTGATATCTGGATTTAAATGGGCACCAGTTGTGGTCCTAACACCAAAGAGCAGAATATTCTCGCCTAAACTTGTATTTGCCATGGTTCAGTCTCAGTATGATGGTGGTCTGGGCCACTGTGTACAGCCTTGAAAGGCATGGGGGTTATGGCTTTGTGGAAAGGGGATGTTTGCGACCCTTCATGGGAAGGGTGCATCAAAGGGTCTCTGCAGGCTGTATCAGTCTTACTGACCTTGCAGATTTTTACTCTTGAAAAGTGCTTATAACCAGTAGTATTATGTAGAATCTGACTGACAGTTCAAGTGGCAATCCAATTTTTGAGGACCTTTTGAAGTCCTCAAAAAGCCTTGGTTTTGTTTGTTAGCACCTTTTAGACTAAGGTGTGCTCAATGTTCTGTGCTAGAACATCACCTGACACTGAGATCACACACAGACATCACACTTGACTTCCAGGACGCTGTAGACAGCGCTCTTTTTGTTTTTCAGATGGTGCTCTTTGCTATCACTCAAAGATGGAGTGCTTTGCAAAGCAGATCTACTCACCTTCTGGGTAGGTGGGTATGGCAGGGGGAGGGCAGCTTGGGCTGACTCCTCTCTCTTCTTGTAGATCTGGCTATTGTTTTTGTTGTCTGAATACCACACCTGAGTCCATTTTCATGTTGCCTGAGGACAGTACGTACACTGCAGCACTTGCTGGTTTAATTTCAAGTGCTTGTTTACCCAAGGCAGTGGGTGACAGGGAGGAAGGAGTAACAAGTGCAGCAGATGTCATGGCAATGGTAACATCCTCTCACCCTTTCCCTCATCAGTTAGTCAGTCAAGACAAACTCCTGATGCTTGGGGGCATGTTCTCCTAAACTGGCTGCTGGCACATGCACCCTTCATCCCTGCCCAGAGTAAAGCCCTGCTGTTTGCAGTACTTCATGAAACTCCGTGACTTCAACATATGCAAACATCTTCCTCTGTTTTTATTTTTCTGGAAGCTGATAACCATGGATTGCAGCAAACAAAATTAATGCTTTTTTGGACACAAACTGTAAATGGCTGCTGATGGCAGGTCTTGGGCTTCTGAAGGGTTGTAGAGGACCATCCATTTTCCTGGCAGCTTCTGAGTAAATTCTTTTAGTCAGTTGTTGGTGTCCTCTAAAAATAATGGATCTGACAAAAAACTGAAAGTAATTCAGAAAGCCTTCTGTGTATGTATGACTTGGCCTGGAACGAGATGGAGGATAGAAACTGGTGGTTCCTAACTGAACTGTTGAAGAGTAGTGCCTCATGTTTGGGGTTTCCAGCATACTTCGAGCATTTATAGTCTGTAGCCCTTCTTACCTGAAGGGCTAATATACCTGAATTCTTAGGCTTTTGGCACAGTACAAATCCATCCTTTTGCCTTAGCCAATGTGAAAAGGCTGAAGCAAGACTTTCTCACTGCTTTCTCCTTTGCCTTCCTTTCTGCCCCCTTTCCTCTCCAAACATAGTGACAGAGATCATGGGGAGCCAGACTGTCCTGTAACTCTTTCTGTATCTCCTTATAATGGAGGCATTTCTGATTTGGTTTTCATACAATAATAGAGCTTTGAAGGGAGCTCTGGTCAAGTGTTCCAATAGCCTGCTTAAAGCAGGACCGACTTTGACTAATAGGTCTTTTAAGTACTGCTGTTTCGAGTTTACAGGACCTTTTAAAAAGCATTTAAAAAATAGTCAGGGTTACTGTGACTGCCCTTGTGTTCAGGGTGAGTAGATGCCACCAGCCTATGAGTGTCATTTTGTTGAATGTTATAAACTGATTTCTCCTACCTTACAGCAAGTGGAGCAAATGTTCTCATCTATTACAGAGTCAAATTTATGTGGAGCAAAGGGATCTTAAATTAATGTGGGACTGTGGTCCTAGGAAAAAAAAAAGCCAAACCAAAAACTACTGCAAGGCCCTGGGAAAAATTACATGCTTGTTTTTCAGAGGCCAAGAAAAGTGGAGTTGATTGATATTTTTGTGGGGTAATCACTAAGTGCCCACTGTTCAATGTGTCTTGCACTTTCAGATTGACCTGGGCTGAGGTGTGAATTCACAACCTCACAGCTGGGGCTGTTCTGGAGCTTGCTAAAACCCCGTGGCATCACCAGAGAGGTACTTGTAAATATCAGTGGCTGCCTCTCGGGACATACAGCATGCTAGAGGAGAAGAAGATCCCTCGGATAGTTACAGTGTCTGCATTTTTATAAGGAGGAGGTTGATGTGCCTGCCAGAAATCTAACGTTAATTGAATTTGTGATTAAAACTGGCCCAGAGCTCATTATTCAATGTGTGGCAAGGTTGCCATTGGAATATGTAAGTTAGATTGTTTTGACCCAAGTAGTGCTGGAGCATATGAGTGGAGACACTGAAATCTGAATATCCAGGCCTACCATAAGCTCTCCTAAGTGCACTTGATGGGATATCCTGTCTGGGAAGAGCAAACAGGGCTCCAGTTCCCCATCAGCACTGCTTTGCTGGCGACAGCAGCTGTGAGTTTGGCAGAGAAGAGGGAGCACCAGGTTTTGTGACCCCATGGCTGCAGAGAGTGCTGTTCTGTTCTGCAAGTTCACCCCTACCCAGAGCACTTTGCAGAATACTGTTACTCTTTTTTGCCAGAGCAGCTTGTCAGTGGAGGTTTGTTGCCACCTCATGGAGGCACTGATGATACTGTGCAGTCATGCGTGCCTGACGAGGAGATACACCAAGCCAAATTTTGCTGAATGCAATAAAAGTCAAACTGTAAATGTTCCCTTGCTCAATGTTTTGTGTAGCCTTTTCCCTTCTCGTGTTTAGCAGGGAGAACTCCTTTTTCTTTTAAGTTTGGTGAGCTTTTTCTGTTGGGGTTTTTTGATATTCAGGGTAACAGATGCTTTGCTGGCTCTCCATCATTTCATTACCATCTTCTCTAAATGCTCTTTCTTTTTCTCTATAAAAGAATCTTCACCAAGACAGTATCTCAAGCATTCATTTGTGTTTGTTCCCATGAAATACATCTGTGCACTTAGGTCCCAGCTCTTCCTGATGTGGCCTGGACTTGAGCAGCATCTCCTACTGGTTTTAGCAGTGTCAGTGAAACTGATTAAACAGCAGTGTTAACGGCACCAGGAAGGAACTAGAATGACATGGGTCAGTGCCTTTCTGTAGGTTCAGACAGTCTATTTTCTCCTTCCTTATTGAATAGATCTACTGCCTCTTTTTTTCCCCAATAGCAGAACATAGTTAGGACTAATGTTTTGTTTATTTTTATAGTTTTCTTTGACTGTGGCTGAAGAAATTAATACACACCCCCTTTGGACAAAACTGCTTGTTCTCAGGATGTCTGCCTGTTTTTCTTAATGGGATGAGGGTACAACTTGTTCATTTGAAGCAGCAGAAACTGGGTGCAGGCTCATGTCGGTGGCAGTGACGGAAAGCTTAGCCAGGAAAAACAAGTGTGTGGCCTCATTCCTTTTGAGAACAATGGGAAATGGCAGCCATTTCTGGGTGAAACAAGAGTTTGCTGTGAAGCAGACAAATGCTGGATGTAGAGTACCACAATACTGAAAAAAGAGATCTTTCCTTAGGGAAAATGAGTTGCAGATACTGCCCACCAGTCTAGTCAAAACCTACCTACCCTAAAAAAATCCAATTTGATGAAGCCTTTCCATGACATCCTGCAAGTTGTAACAGAAAGGGTGGTGTAAAAGTTTCTACTGCATGTTGTGCCAGGTAGAACAATAAGATATGCCTCTAAATCTCTTCTAAGTTTCGAGCAGTGTCACATTAGAGGCTAATTTATCACTGTGATTGTGAGTTCTCACGTTTTTTTTCTGTGCACAAACTGTGGCAAGTGATGTGAGGGTGAACTGAAAATCTCATATGTAAGTCAGGGTATCAGATGATGTGTAAAATTTAATTTTAACTTTAAAGCTGAGAAGGCTGCTTCACACTGGTGTTGCTTGGTGTTTTGTTTTGTTTTTTTTTTTCTGAAGCTTGAAAATTGCCTTCTAAAAACAAAACAGCTGCCTTTCCTGGTGAGAGGTTGTTGTGGGCTGGGGGAGCTGGATCCCACTAAACTCCTCTGCCCCAGTACTGCACTGGCCAAGTGGTTGGATGCAGGGGATTGCTTTGCGCTATTTTCCTTTTACCCAATTATGCTTTGTGGGATGTTCAACCCAAGGAACATGGCTGAACGAAAGAGGAAGCCCAAGTTTTCCAAGGAGGAACTGGACATTCTGGTCACTGAGGTGACCCGAAATGAAGCCGTGCTGTTTGGGAGGGAGACGGTGCGTCTGTCCCATGCTGACAGGGACAAGATCTGGGAAGGCATAGCCAGGCAGATCACATCAGTCAGCCAGGTCCCCAGGTCTGTAAAAGACATTAAGCACAGATGGGACGACATGAAGAGAAGGACCAAGGACAAACTGGCATTCATGCAGAGGTCCCTCTCCAGCCCTGGCAGCGTGGGGCGACCTTCGGCCATCGTCCTGACCACCCATGAGAGAGCCATGGAATCAGCGCTGCATTCGTCACACCAGAGACACAGCTGCCAGAGAGCAGATCTGGACGTGGTTGACAGTCCATCAACGAGCTGTAAGTACCACTGCCTTAACACCTCTTATGCTTACATATCTCCCTTTGACACCAGAAGAGCATTGTGTGTTGTGTGAGATGGCTGGGTTGCCTGTCAAGACAGGTCCTTCTGCTGTGGTTGGTTTCTGCTCTGGTGGTTGTGGAATGTTGAGATGGATTGTTTCCAAGTTAAGATCATCTTTATCTGTTTATCTGGTTATTTTCTGTACTGTCGTCTTAGGGTAGATAATGGGTTATAACTATGAATTAGTCCTACAGGCAAGGGAGCATCTGTAGTTGAAGTATGACTGCCTCCAGTCTGTGGAAAAAATGCTCGTAAAGGATTAGGAGAACTTCATCTTGATAAAACAGCAGTGCTACCAAACTGAGAGGCATCTGTCTGTCACCAGTGGATCACTTCCAAGAGAGCTTTGGGGGGTCTCAGTGATCACTGGTGTTCATTGCTGAGGTTGGGCCACTAACAATTTCTAGTGGTCTGAAGGATCAGCATGAACACTATAAAAAAGGTAGATAGTAATAACTTCTTCTTCACTGGTTTTAAAGAAACTTCTGGCTCTTCTTTTGAAGTTGATCTTACACCACAATTCTCAGACACCCTCCAGTGCAAAACCACAAGCTGCTTTGTGCAGGTTTATTCCATAGTTTTATACACACAGTTTTCTTTTGTGGAGGTGCAGCTTCTTGTTGGTGAGCTTTTAGGGATACAAAGGAGAGAAGGAGGCGATAACTTCTTGGGAAGTGAGTCAACTAACACCTCATGGGTGGCGCTGTCCTACCACACTAGGTCTAATCTCATGTCTGAAGTTGTTAGGGGTAGAGCAAGGACAAAATCTTCCAGAACTGACAAGGTGGGACTTGGTCATTCTTTGTATCTATCTTGGAAGCCAGTTGCACTATTTCAGAGGTAAAAAGAATATAGGTTATGCAAGGAAATAGTGGGCAGCTGCACCAGGTGAAACCTTGTCTCTTCTTACTTTTCACATGCATGTACCTGTGAACTGGCACATCAGTAGATATTTATCAGACTAATGAGAATTTTCCCATGGCATTTTGCTTTAGTTTTGATTTTGCATCAAGTGTATTTGCCTGATTAACATAGGGTCCTGTTGCTGCTGTATCTGACTGCCTGGTTGTCTTAGTGATGCCAAACCATGTAGTGGCTTTGCAGAACACACTTTGGGAGCAGCAAATACAACATCTATGCTCTTCTCAGTGCAGAGGATGTGAGAAATGATGGGAGAGTAGGATTTTTCCATGAGAAGTCTGTGTTCCTCTAGAATATTTATGCTAGCTACCTATGGGTTTGAGAGAGGGAGAGAAGTCATTGCTACTGTCTGAAATGGATTCATATTCTAGTAATGAACAGTGCTCTGTACAGAATACCACAATAGCTTGGGTTCACCCTCTCTCAGATTTCTCATGGCTAAGCTTGTCACCCAGATGCTAACTTGCAGCTTTTGCATGTTGAATTACACATCAGAAGCTACAGGCTTGTCTGAGCCGGCAGACTGGGGGGAGGGGAAAACCCTTTTTCCATATTCTTTGAGATATCCTGAAACAGAAGCCAGCATTGAGAGGGATTTCACATTAATAATTCATGCTTCCTCTTCTGTTTAAGCTGATGAAGATGAAGAGATGCCAGGCACTTCTCAGGAACACCACTTCGCTTCGCTGCAGAGGGCTGGTGCAGGTGTCAATCCGTTCTCCAGGCCCTCCCTCCTTCACACTTCTTCCTCATCAGAGCCCTCGGGAGCTGCCAGCCAAAGGCAGGAACTGCACTGTCCATCCCCACGCACCACCTCGGCCTGCAGACCCCCGCACCCCCGCACCAGGAGCCCGCCCCTCTCCAGCTTCGATCGCCAGCTTCTCCATTGCCATGCACAGCAAGCAGACCTGTTCAGGCAGTTCTGCCAGGAGCTGGTGGCCATCCATAGGGACATGGCAGATAGCATGCATGCCGTCAGCCGGAGCGTGGCTGACCTCACCAGCCAGGTCAGCCAGATGTGTCAGACGCTGACAGAAATACGTGATGGGGTCCGGGCTTTCCATAGGATACAAGATCCCAGTGTCATGCCAGGGTCCTGTCTGCAAGCAGCTTGCTCTAAACAGCCCCCTGAGCCCAGTGCAGAGTCTAACCAAAACTCTCTAAAATGGACAACTCCTGCACGGGCCACCAGGTCACGAAAAAGAAAACATCAGTTTTAGTCTGTATTTTACAAAGTAAAGAAGGATGGCACTTCCTGAGCTGCTGCATGTTCCTCCCCATGTGTATCACTACTCTGTGGGGAAGGTCAACAGCTGACCCAACCCATCCACCCCCCTGCTGGCTAACAGAGCAGTATGAGTATGGCAACTAATTTTAGGACCAGCCCTCTGCAATGGCAAAGAAGAATCTCAAATTCTGTAGAGCTTGGAATGTAGGATATCTTTGGGTTCATAGAGATTTAGAGTTTTCACTGGCTTCCCCATGCTTTAAATGCTGTATAAACTAGGAAATGCAATAGAAATCGTTATCTGTATCTCTTCCCATGCCTGTGAAATATTTTTACTGAAGCAGCATGCTACAGAGATCCTTTTGCAATCAACTCACAAATTTATCCTACTACTGCATTCCCATAATCTTCCTGAATATTCGTATATGCAGTATGTGCAAAAATACAGCCTTATGACTCTAAAATCTCTTGTTGATCATGGCTTTTATCTCTCATTCAGCAATAGTGGACTGTCTGGGGCTTACTGTGACTTACACACAGCTTTGGGGAGAAGAGTGTAAAAGCAGGGCTTGTGCAGGGAAGGGAAGAAAGCATGGTTCTGAGGACAGGTCTGAGCACCATGGAGTTTTAGACTGCTCAAAAGGGTTGCAAAAAGCATAGGCATGGATCCTGCAGTGTCACGTGCACTTGTGTTAAAGAGTTCAGCTTCTGTTTGCTCCAGTCTGAAACCCCTACCTTTCACAATTGCAGTTAAAATACAATCATTTCACCACATGACAACATTTAAAGATAATTGTATCATATTTTCTTGCATGTTGTCAAATCAAACCACCTCACCCCTTCAAAATGACTGAACAGAAATGAGAAAAGATGTAGGGCCTGCTTCTGACCTCACGCCAGTTTGGTTTGGTTTTGCTGTAATTCTGTCATCTTCAGTACAATTACTTTGCACTTAGTTTTATTTAGGGTGGGATCTGTGCTATGTTCTCCTCTCATGAAGAGTTTTCAGTCTAAATTCACAGCTACATAGGTTAAAATCTTAGGCATGTTGGTTTTATACTGCTTTCTTTCCCCATATAGATGCAAGAAAGATCTGCATTACAGCATTTGAATTGCTCTAGAGCTGTGTGAGGTTCCCGTGTACAACACTGATTCTGGAACTAGGCTTTAATAGTGTCACTTCAGGTGGTCATAATGTATGTGGTACCTCTTCTATAATATGTCTGTTTTCTCCTTAATTTGCACTTCTGCATCTAGCACGCTGCCCCCATCTCTGGAAAAACCCAGACCATTATTCTGATAGGCTTCAGCAGGGAAAAGGGTCAAGGTGTTAATCACATAGCACTCTGTGCTCTCCAGGCTGTCCTGTTGTGTTTGGAGGTTGGTTGCAGGAAACTATTCCAGTTAATATGAATGAGCATCATCCTGCCATGGCTGGGTTACAGACTTGGCAAAAAAGTTACAGAAACTTCCATGGAATTGAACATAGGCAGCGTGGTGTAGCAGAAGGATGGCTTGTTTTGTGTGGTCTTCAAGGGTCGTCTTTAACTTGTCTGGCCTCTTCTTTGAAAGTATAGCGCACTAGCTTCTTTCCTGAAAAGTTTGTTGTATTTCTGCTGTGTCAGGCATTCCTGACATGCTTTTCCTTTTTTTTTTTTTTTTTTTTTTAAGATGTTCTGTAATTCTAATTAAAGTAATATATTTTTAGTGGTGCAATAAAAGATTGCTCAAGGAAATAGTGGTCTGGCAAGAAAAAAGCCTCATTTCTGAGGAATGACCCAACTGGTTTCATGCAGAGGACATTCCTTTTAGTGCTTGTGCCCAGACCAGGGCAGAACTTGCTTGTCTTCCACTGAGGATGTTCTTTTACTCCTGTTGAAATATTTGTATTCTGCAAAAGTCACAGTCTCTCTTCAGATGAAGGGGAGATTGGGAGATCTGTCAAAAGTGGATCTAATTTATGAATCAGAGAGCTGAAAAAAGGGTGGTATATGTTAAAGGCTTTCTAAGTCAATATAGTGCTGCTGCTATATATTAATATTAGTATTTTATATTTTTATAATATTTGGTCTCTACTGATGTCCCTCCATGCATATGATTGGCTCCTTTGATGTTGTCCAGGGGGATCCCTTCTGGAAACCCTCAGGTCTGCAGAGGAGGAGACTCCTGCAGGTGCTGGGCAGTGGAGGGAGTTAGCATCATTGGTGCCATCAATTTGCCCACCCAGATATATTTAGAGAGAGAATCCTGGTGCCAGATGCACAGCCCTCAATGCAAATCCCCAAAGGCCGGGCACTGGTCAGGAGAAAGGACCTTTTACTATCAACTGCCTAATGTCTCCCCTAGTTTCCTCTGTGGACTATTACAGATTGGCCCAGATCTGGGGACGTATCTCCTGCCCTGTGTAGACCCCTCGGTGGAGTGGCTTTTCTGTATTGGCTTGCAAAGGATACTTCTTCCTGCACCTATCATGCTAACTGGCTGTTGAAGTAAGTGTCTGTGTCAAAGCAAACTGCTGTGCTCAACCCCAATATCTCCATGTCCTGTACATGCTGAAAAAATTCTCTCTTTAAAAGTATTTTTGTTAAGAATGCAATAAATACATAACACTTTTACCACAGCTGCTGTTGAGTCGTTTGTTTCTCTCTACAATTTTTGCCTGAGCTGGTAAGAAGCCTGTCACAGATGTGGGTCTCCAGGAGACACTTGGCATCAGCGCACTGAGGCAGGGTTTACAGGTTTGGCCTCCCATGGCATCAGCCTGGGCTGCTGGCTGCTCTCTTGCATGGGATCTCCTGCCCTGGCTCTGTGCCCAGAGTTGGTTTGGGAAAGGCCAGTGGCCTTTTCCCTGGAGTGCTCTGCCCTGGCAGGCTGTCAGTGGAGCACCCCCCATGCCAGCCAGAGGGTGAGCTGTGGAGTGGGCGGCAGGGAGCCATGAGGCAAGTCCAGGGTGATAGTGGAGGGGAGAAGGGGAGAAGCCTGAGCCTCTCTCCAGCTGCAGAGGTCTCCTCCCTCTTCACCATCTCTTGTGGATCCTCACCAGAGGCTCTGTTCCTCTCCTGGGGAGGGATGATCCCACCTGCAGAAAAATACCTTGACATTTTTCTGGGCACGCTCACTTAGCCATCCCAAAACTTGGAAATTTGGTCTCCTGAGTGGGCTGGGGCTTAGGAAAAATGAAACAGTGACTTTTATTTGCTGCTAGCTAGAGAGTCTGTGGGAAAGGTGTTCTGCAGAGCAAGGAGCTGTGCCTCTGACAGCTGTGGGGTTGATCCCAGCCCCAGTAGCTGCAGATGGGTCACAAGTGGTCTCCATATGTGCGGTGTATGGTCCTGAGTAGCCTGGTCAGGATCTGTGGTGTTCTGGATGCTGGCCTGTCCCAAGGACTAGACAGGACATGAAATAGTGGATTTGTGGCTGGTGGCAGTGCCTCTCTGCAGACCAGGTGCAGCTGAGGGTGTCTGGGTCTGCCACAGGAGCAGTATGACCCTGCTCCTCCTCTGGGGATCACAGTCCCTTGGGAAACCTGCTCTGCAAGCAGGGCGTTGCCTATCAGTGTGCAGTGCTTGGGTCAGCATAACCATGCCTGTCCTGGGTGTCCAAACCCAGATAGCCTCCTTGCTTCAATCCAAATGGAGTATTTGGCATTGGGAAGGGGGCTGGACACTGTGCAGCCTTCACAGGAAGGGTTGGGTTATTCAGGATGTGAGTAGTTTGGCCTTGGGATGGATATCAGGGAAGGCAGATTATACAGTCTCTCCTCAGCAGGTAGTTTGTGCTCCTGGTTCATAAAGCTGGCTGCCTTTCTGTGGAATGACTTTCTCCATCCTTGGAAAGCATCTGCCTCTCAGCTGTGGTGTGCAGCAGCACTAAGTGTCTCAGAGCAACAGTTGGAATGTGGGGTTTTGCAGTCCTTTGTAACCTGTGTCTTTCATGCCTCTGGGGAAACTCGAGCCTGGGGCTGGGCAGCACTGGTTCAAAACAGTTTCTTTTGTGTGGATGATCTCATCCCATCTACCTTAACTCAGGGAAGTATCACAGATGGAAGCTTCCTCACTAGGATCATAAACCACTTGCTAGCTGGGCATATCTGTGAAGAAACATGTTTGTGACTGGATTATCCCAGATCTCTCTGTTGGGGGCTCCTGATGAGACTGGCTGTGCCAATGGCTGCAGGAGGCTGGATGAGCAACCAGGCAGCATTTGCTGCAGTGTTGCAGCAGTGCTGCAGCTCATGCCCTCCAGCCTGCATTCTCATCCCAGTTCCTCCAGGAGGTGGCCAGAGCCACAGGATGTGGGCAGCAGAGCTGAAGGATACTCGAGCAGAAATGTGGAGAGCTGTAGAGGCAGAAGGAGAGCAGCGAACAGAAAAATGCTCATGCTCACGCTGAGCAAAACACTTCACAATAAAAGTGACCCCTGGTGGGAATAGTTAACTTCCCATTCAAAGATGTATTTTCTACATCTCACAGTCAAATGCAGTTTGCTGAAAATGCACTAGACCATCCTGTCACTGCTGCATCAATTCCTTGGTGCCACTGGCTGCAGATGTACAGGTCATGTACGTCATATTAAGGATCTCTAAGTGACTTTAGGTTAGTAAATCTTCACAGGGGCAGCCTGATCTGTTGTGGGCAGTAGAATGCACAGCAGAGTCTCTCCTTAGCTGGTGCAAGGAAGCATCCTGACATTTTGCTTGTACTGGAGAGAGCATCTTATAGGAACTCCTGTGCTGCAAGACATCAGACTAACCACAGCACATTGGTCTGTCTCAAGGGTTGTGATCTCATGGCTGCCTGGAGGCCTGATACACCTTTTGAGGGGTGATCACTAACACCCAAAAGCAGCAGCCTGGCTGCTGTGTGCTATTGCAGGACCTCCTTTCCACCACACTGATCTAGGTCTCTCTTCCTTCTCAAATACAAAAACTGGTACTTTAAAAGTTCCTTTGTTTTGTGAGCAGAAGTAAATAAGGGTTAATAAAAGCCAATTTTGGTAGTACCAGTCTGCTGTTTAAATAATTACTGAAGATGGCAGAGAATCCGGGGTGGCACACATCAGGAAAAATACAACTGCTTGCAGGTACATGCACAGTTGCTTAACATTAAAACCAGAATTGCTTGAGCCTCAGGCAGTCCAGACACTGCCACTGCAGACTTGTTTTCTGTGTTTTGTGGGAAGTTTCACCAAGTTTGTGACCTTATTTGTGTGGGTTAGTGGGATCACGTGCAGATGGGCTTGTGTCTTTATCTGTGCATTCACATGGCTAGAGAAGGTAGAATATTCAAAAAATTTGAGAGATTTCTTAAGCCAGAGAAATACCTGTATATGCACTAGGGAACTCGGGCAAGGACTAATGGCAGCAGATGTCAGAGGAGCTGTATGCTCCCCTGCAGCCTCCTTGCCTTTGCTGAGGTTGCTGCAGCAGGGAGTGCTGAACAACAAGGCAAATGGTGTAAGAGAAAAATAAGTTTTGACTATGAGGGTCTGCACATGCTGTGACAGGGCCTCCTTCCTGGGTAGGTGTTGTAAGCTCTTGCTGGTGGCAACTGGATCCAGTGTTACCAAGCCTTTTTCATGTCCTCTAGCAGGAACATGAGGAGTGTGAGAGCAAACAACACGACCCTAGCAATAGATCTCTGTCTTAGCAAATTGCACAGAGGGCCAGTTGCTTGGAGTAGGAATAAGTAAGTTTCTGCTGAACTAAAATGTAGCTGTTTTAAATCAGGAAAATAAATCCCATGCCCTGAAAGTGATCTTTTTATCAGCACTGCCAGGAGATCCCCACAATGTGGTGCTGGGGTTTCCACTTGCAGAGCTGAATTGGTTTTTTATGTCATACCCTGCTGAACTCTGAAGTGCAAAACCTTCCAATATTGTCCTGTCCTTGGACAAGCAGCACATACTCCCATGCCCATTAGGTATCTGTGTTTCTGTAGTTAGAATCCAAATTTTCTTGTCTGAGAGGAGAGAAGCAGGAAAATCTGTTAGCAACTAAAAAAAGAAGGCAGTGTTTTGGGGAAACAGACAGGCGGGGTACCCTGCCATATTCCAGACATTCCTGAGAAGAAGGGAGGGAGCCCTGGGATGTGGAGTGATGGTGGGGAGTCCAGAATTCCTTGTTTCCATCACTAGGCAAAGACGTTTCTGCCCGGGAGAGTCTGTTACCCTTGCTGGCAGACATCCCTTCAGACTGGATGTGCATTTGTGTCGTCCCTTCCCCAGCAAGAAATGGCCCCACTGGCTTAGTGTTCCCTGGGTGTCCATGCTCGTTTGCACACCATTGCTTGTAACTCCATGCTTTCCAGCCTGGCTGTGTTGATGGCTCTCTCTGAAGGTCATTCTGGCTTCTTCATGGTTGTCATTATGATGTGGGGGGGGCACAGGAGAGAAGTTTGTGCTTCACACCTGCCTTGTCCCCTTGCCCTCAGGTACGTCATCATCTCCCGGGAGGAGAGGGAGCAGAACCTGATGGCCTTTCAGCACAGTGAGAGGATTTACTTCCGTGCCTGCCGTGACATCCACCCTGGGGAGAAGCTGCGGGTCTGGTACAGTGAGGATTACATGAAGCGGTTGCATAGTATGTCCCAAGAAACCATCAACAGAAATTTCACAAGTGGTGAGTCCCTTCCCTTTCCATCCTCTCTCCTGATTCCCTTGGGCCAAGTGTGGTGGGTGAAGTAGATTTTGCACAGGCTTTGTGTGTGCATTTCTAGAAGCAGAGCGCCTCTGGGTGAAAGCCCCCAGCTCTGCCTGGCATAGATGGATGGGTGTACAAGGAGAGTAAGATACCCTCAGTCATGGAGATCATGAAAGAAAGATTTGTGCTGTGATGTGTCACGTCATGTGTTGTGCCATGTTGTGTGTGTGTTTGTGCTGCAAGGGCCTGATGCAATGCCCAGGGATCACAGAGCGCCCCTGTCATGAGACTTTCTGGCCTGAAGATTGCCAAGCTGATGATCCTACAAGACAGCATTAGGTTTTTCCTCTGAACATGCTGCTCTCCCTGGCTCCTGTGAGCAGCCTGTTTGAGGGAGCTCTGGCTGGTTTTGAGTCCATATGAATGAGATTTCCTTGGTGTGTTTGTATGTCCATTTTCCTCGTTTAATTTATCTCCTCTTTCTTCAGAAAGATAATTTGGGATCAGCGCGACATCAGCTTCTTAGTCTCACAACCTTAGAATGTGTATACAACGTACAGGAGCTTTGTACTTGTCAGACTGATTCTTCCTTGGATAAAAATTTTTATCTTGTCTAAAGAGTAGCAATGTTGAAACAAACCCAGCAGTCCTTTGGGCCCACGTATTGTCAGCAATATAGGAAGCTTTAGAGGAAAGCAAAAATTCTTAATGCATCTGTTCATCTGTACAATGCTGATACCTGAAGTTAATTAGGAACATTTATTTCCAAGATAGATGCAGAATGGCAGGGCCTCAGAGGGGCAGCCACACTAAATATAACTTTGTAATTATGATTCCTGAGTATATTATTACACAGCTGCTGTTGCTGCCTTGACTTGGTAAAAGGTGTCTCCTCTTCAGTCACGGGGTGGACAAGATGTCCTGAAAAAAACTGGTTATCTATCACCTTAGGGTTGTTACACACTTGCAATGTTACATCT